CTCTGTCTAAAGTTTATAAAGGTTCAAGGTTTGGGAATACTATTGCATTTATCTGTCAATCAAAGCGTAAGAGATATTTTTCTGACAAGTATATGATTTTTCGCTATATAAAAATGTTTAATTTAATAATAATAAATTAAAATTGTTTTGAGTGATGGTCAAAATTATAGGGTTTAAAAAATAAAACGCATTTATTATACTATTTGAATGGGTAAACCACCTATGACCTACATTTTATGCACATTTTTTTTCACACAGATATTGGTAAATCATTTAAAAGTTATTTTTTTGTTGATGGATATACTTAAAAAACCTTTTATACAAATAGAATCGTTTTTTATCATTATTATGCACATAATAAAATGAACTTGTTCATGATTTTTAAAAATTAGAAGATAACCAACTTAAATTTCTGACAAAGTTTATTTTTTGATGCTAAATAATTTGTCAGCATATTAAGACGCATTGTGTAAACTTTTAATTGTTTTCATTCATATAATATAGGTAGGACTTACTTGGATTATTTCTCTGATTCATAACCATATTTATTATTTTCTGATATGTTTCTTTCATCTACCAATGCATATTTATTATTTAATAATTATTAATAGCGACCTCAAAGCAAGCAAATTACAGATTTTTAATTTACTATTCAAATTATTATTATATGTTATTATTTGTTATAAACTTGTATCAGTTTAACATTAACATATTTCTATAATAATATTATGTTCGTATACTTTATAAGGAATAACTAAAAGCTATTAAAAACATAAAAATACCTACCTATATAGTCTATTTTTTGTTAACAACAAAAATAAGAGTTCTTGAAACTTCCATTGATATTATTTAAATATTTAACTTTGACCTTTTCAAAAATACTCATTTAACTAATGATATATTTCGATAAATTTGTAGTCGAAAATAATATATTAACATATTCTTTGCAGTGAAATGTTCATCACAGCATCGTGAGATAAGCTCAATACGTGACAGGGACGATGCATTGATATAAAATACGATTTTGTCTGTAGACTTTTTTTTATAGTCTTCATTAATAAGAGCAATAAAAATAATGGTAGACGTTTTAAGCTCGAGAAACATTGATGTTACTAACTTATTTTGAAAGCTCCCAAATAATGGCTGTGCATTGGTGGGAAATTTTTCTAAGGAATTTACACACGTCTTTGGCATGTTATTCTACTGAATCAAACTATAGCCCATTATTTCAATTCGCTTTTGTTGTATTTTTTTTTTCATAAGTTTCTCTAAAATAATCTACACTATTATAGTTAATATCAAAAAAAAAAAAATTGTAAAATTTATATGATGAAATTACGCTTGAACGTTCTTAAAAAAGAATTGAAATAAAAAGTACATGAAACAATATATACAGCTGGTCAATATATAGCATTATCATTTATTTTCTATAATTTTGAACGACGATTCTTTAGAATCGTGTTGTCTTGTATAACTCGAGTTGTATGTATCCAAAAACTAATTATAATATTTCGTTATAATTTGAATTAAAAATAAAAGTACCTACGCATAAATAAGACGAAATCCAAAGAATGAAAAAAAAAAAATCATTTTTAATTTATTTCTCTTCCAGTTATAATGTTACTTCTATTTTTTTTTTTTTTTGTATACAGTCTAAGATTTAATTGGTTATCTTTTAAGTAGTACGCTGGTATTATACGAATTCTGGCTTGTATCGAATTTTTTTTTTGTATACATTATACATGTTCCGTTTTCAAAAATAATTAAGCCGTCTACGTGTAATTAAAATTTATGCAGATAGTTGTGTAATGTAAAACAGGCACAATTTCATCTTAAGTTTATAAAATAATATTACAGTCTTCGTATATTCGAAATCAATTTCCTCAGCTTTTAAAATGATAACCATTATTTAAATTCGTTGGCCTATGTTAATTAATTGTGTAGTGGCACGGCACGAAATTTTAACGAATGTGTCTCCGATCTACTCAAACGTCTCTGAGCGTGTAAATACGATTTCAATGGAGCAAGTTCAAAAAGTTTCGGTAACTCTATTGATAAGGATTTCTTGCTTTGTCAATAAATAAAAACGATCTCGTTTAAAATAACTTGAATACGTTGACTTCACGGTGTCAGTTGAAATCGTTCTATAGAGCAACGACAAATTTAAAAAACTAATAAAGTAATAATTTCCGATTTTTTTTTTCCGGGTCTTATAAATTATACATTTTTTTTATATATAAGGTTGAGCACGAACAAAATGTATTTATTTTGTTTGTGATCCTTCAAAAACATATAGGCATGTTATGGGTACGTTGTACTTATACAAAATACGTGTACTGAAAATTGTAAAAAAAATCATGAATAGTCATTATCTCTATACCTACTTATATCATAATACAATATTTTAAAAGTTAGGTATGCAAAAAATTAAAATCTGTTTACTAGGAGAAATAGTCAAATGTTTCATATAGGTACTGTGTATATTCTTATATTATAATATTACAAAGAATAATAGTCGTTTTAAAAATGAATAATTTATTTCATAAAATCTATTCGAATATTATAATATAAAAATATGTACCTACATACGAGCAAATTTGTACTATGGTTCAAATACTATGGCCTATAATATTATATTATTAATATAGTAACTAGTAAATATCTATTACTATTATTATGCTATTAGAAATTGAATAGTACCTTACATAAATTATTAAAATTACTTAACATACATTTATTATTCTTATAATTTAATTTCTGATTCCGATGACATATTTTAACATTCGTAGAAAATAATAATTTTTTAGTGTGTACCAAACAGTATTAATAAAATATTGATAGTTTTAATTGTGAGGTTACGATTATATTTTTTAAAAACAGTAAGCCATATAAACAGAATAAAATAAATCGAATGCGATAATCCCGCAGGGTTTACTCGTAATAGAAATAGAGCCAAGAAGACAAGTTATGTTGTTTATGTTTTTAAGATTTAAGTATTGGTTTATTTTGAGCCGTTAAAAGCTCGTGCAATAAAACTGTCACAATTGAAATGTCTAGTAAAATATACATTTAACATTTTCCCTCAATAATGACGAACACGTCTGTCCCCTTAATCATACGTTACACTGGCACGATTATAATGAAAATTGTGATTGTTATCGGACATGTGTCAATTGACCCGCCTCTAGTCATCATCGATGTGAATAAATTATTAACAGTAAGGAACGAATATTACATAATACCTACTATTTTGATAATATTTTTTATTTACATCGACATTAGAGACACTCGCACAATATGATATTCTAAGTATTAAATGTTTAACAATAATAATAATATGGCGAAGACGTATTTTTAACTTGTCATTTCGACAACTCTTTGTGGTCGTATGTGTGTGTGTGTGTGTGTGTGTGTGTGTGTGTGTGTGTGTGTGTGTGTGTGTGTGTGTGTGTGTGTGTGTGTTTGTGTTTACTCATATCGACCAAACGGAAAAGCAAAAATGCGTACACGCGTATAGAGGAGTGAGAGAAGAAGGAGAGACCGAAAAGAAAATCGCGGTGCGACAAAAAGTCGTGCGTCGGATGCCGTGGGGGGTGGAAAATATATCCTACCCGACACAGATGTGCTTTAATATAACCCCTATTCCTCACTCGCCCCAATGCCACCACATACTCATTCTTTTCAAGCGGCACTTCGTCAGCACTTCAGTTCACAGTAGCGAACACAGCCATTCTGGAGGAGAAACAAAAAAAAAAATAAAAATAAAATAATAAAATAAATAAATGTGAAAAAAAATACAACACAAACTTCCGCACACTAGCACTCTTGTCAGCCTAAATACTCGAAGTGCTTGGTACTTTTTTTTCCTCTCTTAATTTTTTTTATTCCTGTAGACACACACATATACACACAAAAAATACCATTATGTTTGCATGGCATGAACAATGACCGGTCGGCAAATAAACCGCGTGTGACATTGTTTAAATTTATATACATATTATATTATAATTCTATGGTCACCCAATTTGCTCGAATCTCATGTTTTCTTTGTATTCCTGTCTTCTTTTATATTCCTTTTTACACTCGTCAGACCCAGCACAAACGTATATAAGCCGTTGTTTTTTGTTTCTTTTTTTTTTTAATGAACTCATTATACAGCCAGGAAACAAAACCATAAATGTAAATTAGAGTATAAATTTGCACGAATGAGTAACTAAATCATTATCTATAATGTAGAATGTAAATCATGAGTCAGTATAAACATCCAATGAATGAAAAAAGAACACTATCACCTGATAAACAAAGGTATGAACTATTATGATACATTTTTAAATAGGCATAGGAAATTAAAACCTAAAATACCCAATGAAAAATAAAATATATTATTATATTTTAATAATACAGTTTACTTTTCTACACTTCTTAAAATTCGATATAATTTGTTCATAGTATTTTACTGTATAATTAATCAATTTAATAATAAGTATGTACTTAACTTTATAAAATTATATTTGAACACATGTTAGACTTTAGAATTCTAATGTTATTAGTATACATTTATTAGGTATTATAATTTATATAGGTAGTTAAACAACAAAATGTAAAACCAAATTAGTTTTCAGTAATTCACACGTTAAAATTAACAATTATATTATTATATAATAATATGATATTCATACTTCATATAATATTACATAAAATACATATTATATTGTAAATATCAGCATTATTGTCACTTGGTGTCTAAAATAGGTGAATTGGAAATGGAAAACTTATGTTAGACCTAATATTACAAAAACCATACAGAGTAAAAAACAAATGCCTGAATATAAAATGAGCGTGTGGAAAAATATTTAATGTATTATTTTATTTTATACAGTTAATATATTATATTACTTATAAAGTTATAAAATTAATGTCTTATTTAATTTTTAACCATTCTTTAAAGTATGATTTTGTACACACATGCATTATAATAATATGAGGTCAGTGTAAAATATTTAATTGAAAAAACACTTACCTTTCAATATATTTGTCCCAGAGTTTTCCCATGTGGTGTAATTGGAATATATGGTCAGTGGATTGAACGATGTAAGCTTGTTACCAGTCAAATCCAATGCGAGTTTTGGTACACCAACCAGTGGTAGCAATAGATCGGCAGGCAAATCTTCGATTGCAGTGTGCCGTATGCTGATCGTTAGTCGTTCACCGACCCCACGCTCTAGACCTGAGAATACCTGCCGGTCAATGAATTGCAACTTCGATCCCGTAATGGCCACGGATTCTAATTTGGGACCGCAGGTGTCGACTATTGGTCCCATTAATTTAGAACCCTTCACGTGAACCGATAGTCTGCGGATTGACTTAACAGCAGCGCATACGATTTGTCCAAGGTTGGGTCGCCAATCAGTGGCTAATGACCTGAGCGTGGACAACTTAGATAGTGATCCCACATCAAAACGATCTAAATAATTGAGTTGTTGGACTCGTAAATGCTGCAAACGGGACAAGCCTGAAAAACTTGCTTTAGTTATTGTCTGAAACAAAAGTATAAAAATAAAGAATTATTGAAAGCGAAAACATTTTTTTTCCAATTAATAATAATAGTAGGTATTACTTAAAAATGTATTTACAGTATGTTCATAAAAAGTTTAAAATAGTTAAAATTAAAGAAATTACTTTTATAGGATTTGAAGATAGATCCAATGTTTTCAAAGATGGTAATAATGACCAAACGTGTGACGGAGAAGAACTTAGTTTATTGTCATTTAGGAACAATGTCTTGAGCTGGGTCAACATTTCCATTGAAGATCTGGATATTTTTTCTAATTTATTTTTTGACAGTCGAAGTGAAATTAAACTGGGAAGTGGTAATGGTGGCGTTTCGATTAGTCCCGTATCTTCCAAGTTTAAATGCCTAACGTTTTGTACATAGTGGAAAAGTTCTTTGAAGTTTGCTCTTAGGGTATTTGAAGACAAATCTAATGAAATAAGATTTGTGAGTCCAACAAATGTGTTGTCTGGAATTATTGTCAATTTGTTATTTGCCAAACTTAAATTGGCTAATCTGGGCACATCAAAAAACGTTGTCCCATCAACATGATCTATCCGATTACCAGCCAATAAAAGATGTCTTAGAGTTGTACCAGTTTTTGATAATACACCAGCCGGTACTGCGAGTAATTCATTATTGGATAGATCAATATACTCTAATGGCGTTCCTGATAATACATCCCAACTTAATGTGCTTAGCCGATTCCGGGCTAAAGATAAGACTCTAAGTTTTGGTAATGTTGCAAACTGTTCGGATGATAATTGTTGTATCTTGTTACCAGATAAATATAGTATTTGCAAAGAAGTTAAATTACTAAATGCTTTTGACGCTATTGATGTCATACCATTTTCGGTGATTGAGAGTACTTCCAAGTTCGTTAAATTTATGAACTCTGAGTTATATATTTTAGTTATCCGATTATGATCTAAGTATAAGTTTCTAAGAGAGCTAGATATAAAATACAACAATTTAAATGGTAAATCTTGTAAACTATTATGACTTAAGTCTAAAATCTTTATGTGAACGGGCGTCAATGAATCATCAATCGGCGTTCTTTCAATACAATTGTTGGATACGTTTAAAGACAGTGGCGTTTTTGAGTTAGTACAATTTGCAAATGACGTCATTCGCAATTCCTTCAGTTGATTTCCTTGCAAATCAAGACGTTTAAAATTTGGTAAACTGTCAAATGCCGATGGCTGAATGTATTCAATTTGATTATATGATAAGTCAATGTTGAGTAGTCTTGGAAGTTCTTTAAAGGAATGTGACATTACTTCAATAATTTTGTTCCTAGATATAGTAATTGTCTGTAGTTGCTGTAGGTTGGAAAACGTATTTGGTTCTAAGGACATTAAATAATTTTGATTCAGTCTTACTTCACGAAGATCAGTTTGGTTAGGTGAGCTAAATGTTTTGGGAGCCAACACAGATATCCTATTAGACTCCAAGTTCAAATATTGAAGACTATCTAGAGAATGCAATGAATCAAATGGTACAGATGAAATGTCGTTATTATCAAGTACTAACCACAAGAGAGACTTGAGGTGTCTAAGTATTTTAACTGGAAAGTTGTCGTAGTAAACACCGAAACTAATTTCTAAACTTTCTAATGATGTCGCTAAATCCAAAAATACGTCGGCATCTACGTAATGAATATTATTAAAAGATAAACTTAATTCCCTAAGAGAATTCGTGTTCTTGAAAGGTCTTCCGATGAGTTCTTTTAACTTGTTGTTCATCAGTAGTAATGTATCAAGGTGCCTGGCCCATTCTCCAAAGTCGTTTTCTTTTATTTCTCTAATGAAATTATATCCCAAATTTAAATGTGATAGCTTAGTGCAGTTCATCAATGCATTGCTTGGAATTTCCGTAAGGAGATTTCCAGATAGTGAAAGTGATCTCAAGCTTAATGACACACCTGTGAAATCTGCTGAATCTAATTTATTGAGATCATTTGACGATAAATACAAAAATTTTAAATTTTTCAATGTTCTTATTGCTGTAGGTATTATTCCTAAATTATTATGTTCCAAGTCCAAATACTCAAGTATTCTTTCAAGGCCTTCAAATGTTTTGTGATTCAAATTTCTTAACTTGTTGTATGACAGATACATCCGAACTGACCGCAATCCATCAAATGCATTAGCATCTAGTGACTCTAATCGATTCATATCTAAGTGTAGATTTCGTACTTCCGAGCGACCACCAAACATTCGACCTGACCAACTCTCTAATCGATTCATGCCAAAATCTAAGACATCTAATTTAACAAATCTATTTGGAATTATTTTTGTCATATTTTCTATATAATTGTCCCGGATGTATAATCTGTTTAATGCAGTTCCGGTTTCTAATAGTGACAATGGAAAATCTTGTAGAAAATTGTTTGATATGCTCAATGTTTCAAGCGTTGGAGGAGTTCTAATATTAGATGGAATTGAAGTGATCAAATTATTATCTAGATTTAGTGTAGATAAAGTTCGTAGTTTTGAAAATTGTTCTGGAAATGACATTAAATCATTTTCTCCAATAAACAAATGTTGTAGCGTATCTTGCAAATGATTCCAGTGCGTTTCCACAACCTCTATGTTATTTCTGTAATTAGAAACATGTTAACGTAATTAATTAAAATGTTATTATTATTAGTTAACTTGTGTACATATATACGTATTTGATGTATATAGTTACAAACATATAATAATCACCCGTGTAAATTAAGCCAATCCAAACTTTTTATATTGGAAAATGATTTAAGTGGTACTTTATCCAATTGGTTATAGCTGAGATCCAGGGCTCTAAGAACTGTGCCGGATGACCTGTAATTATTAAAAATACAAATATTTACTATACATACTACCAGACTACCTATTTTTGTATTTTTTATAATTAACAAAATAAAAATATTCGTCATTAGAAGATATAACATCATTACAGATTTATACAAATAATCATTCATAGCAAAAATAATTAAAAATGTCAAACTTGCTGATATTTGTAATTTTATAATATAGTAAAATTTTTTTTGAATAAGTACATACAAAGATTTTTTTAATTTAATAAGGATAAAACCCCTATTATAATTAATTTTTCATTTTCCTCAGAAGCTAAAACAAAATAGAAACCTTACTGAACTCAAGATAAAGATATATAATATATATCTAATAAACTAATGGAAAATCCGAAAATAACCTTTCTGTAGCCGATGTAAAAGTCCTAGAATATTGTGTCTATGTTAAAAATATTTGTATGAAATATATTTTAAATTTAATGGTAGCAAAAACACATTTATATTTGTGACTTGTGTATAAGCTTATAGGTATACATTATTTTAGTTCAATATTGCAGGCTATAGAAGTGATTTAAAAGTAAGATTTGTTCCACATTTATTTTAAGGTCAAACTGATTGCTCAACTGAGTTTAATATTTTAGTGGTAACAAATATTGAAATAAAATATAAATAAGACTTTACCTGCTACTAATTTTATAATATTCTGTAAAATATTTTTGTTATACTTAAATGCTCGAAGTTTGAATTGTATATTATTGTTAAGTATACGAAATTGATTATAGAGGGAGTTTATTTGTACAAGTAATTGTTATCCAATCATAATAACAATGGGTAAAAGTTTTAATCGAGTTTCAAACGAATCTAAATACCTACCTTGCATCAAAATTAAAATTAAAAATATATGTAAAAGACTCTAATATTGAAATTAAAAAAAACTCTTGTGTGTTGTAAGAAATAAAGTATATTTCAATTCGTCTAGACGGCTAAAATAAAAGTGATAACTTTATATTGTTCATTTGTGTCATTCACAAGAGCCTAATTCCAATTTTATTGAACTGATCAATAAAAACATTTAAATCGAATTGATCTTATAGCAGAAACTCGGCTCACTAAAATTATTTGTATTGATATTTTGTAACCTAGTATAATATTTGAAATATAGATAGTAATCTCTCAGCTCTCTAACTGACTGGCATGTTAAATATACGTTGAATGATATTAATAAACATACCCATAATAAAATATGTATGCGCCCAGTGACGACGAAGTAGCATAACAATACTCAATCAAACAAAGTAAAAGAATGATAAGCACCATAATATTATGTCCTTAAAAAAACTTTAAGTAGAACCATGGGGGCTTTTCCCGTGAGGGGGCAACACTCACTCCATTTTGCTGTTTTTAAAATAATTTTTAATTATCCCATTAGAAAATTAAAGTTTTTTTATTAATTTATGAATTTGCTTAAAAACTAAAGGGCTAGTCTCCAAGTACAAAATTGGTACAAATTAAAAAAAAAAAAGTAAAGAGTTAATTAGCACACTATAAGATGACATATTATAATGTGGATATAATAATAGTAGTATAAAACATACAGTTTGTGAACATTTTTGATGAATAATTCAAAATATAAAACTGGAAAATTCGCTCTACTGTATAGTAATAGCGTTGAGCGTGTAAAGTCAAAGTATGTCATAAAGGCATAAAGTTGTAGGTCACTGTAATGGGATGTATTAAATTTGAATTCAATAATAAACCATTGAATGCGAAAAACGAATGTCTATATTATCTCTAAAGATATTTTATTAGTAGTTTATTTTTCTATTATGACTACGGAAGATTCAACTCATTTTTTACAAAAACGGAGTTTTCATTATATAGTAATATTATTGTATTATTATTTTTTATAATATTATTAGCTGTTATTAACTTATAACTTACAAGTCAATACCGGCGTGCCATAAAACGATGTGAATAGGTAAACCGTGTATTCGATTTTTTTTTTATTTAAGTACCTACGAACGGTGAGAAAGAGATAAAATATTTTTTAAATTACGTAAAATCTAGAAAGTATAAATATTAAATGAAGCGTAGGTACAACGAAAATTCAAAAATTGTTTTTACGAAAATATTGGTGTACTGTGTTTCTCGATTATTTTGAATAGAACTTACTGGGAATTTTCACTTTTGACCTTCCAAAATGTACTAACTAGGTCCTATTTGTTACGAGAATCTGAAATTTTTACTGCTCAAAAAAGAGAGACTTACACATAAACGAAAATAAATAATAAATTGAAAAATAACCATTCTAAAACTAATATGAGTGGGAGTGATAACTTGTTAAATAGCGTAGGTTCATCTAGGACCCTTCATAATTATATTTTTTTTATGTATTTAGTATTTACTATCTTGTATTGATTTGGGTATATCACGTGTTGTAATAAAAATAAAAATAAAATAATATGAAAGTATATTCACTATTTCTACTATTCAGTTCACGTAAGTTTGTCAAATGTAATTTGCTAACTACCAAGATGGATAATTGGTTGGATAATTGTATGATATTTAACTCGACTAAGAGATATGAAAACAGCAATTAATATCAAACAGAGAGTTAGGAAACTTAAAGCTTTCCTCGTTAATATATAGGTAGGTTACATATATATTACACATGATTGTATAAAATATGTTTATAATTATTATTCTAGAATATCCAGATATTTTAGCACAATTAAATACATTAAAAATGTTAGTTTTATTTTAAACCTTTACTATCGGCTATCATTTTAATAAAACACATTTCATATATTTGATACTAATAATGAACGTTGACATAATATGTATATAGCTTACAAAAAAAAGTTATCTTAACTATGCTGTATTCTTCACTATATCTTTAATAAATTATAGTTTCGGTTAGGTTAGGTTTTTGTACTTACATATGTAGTTTTTGATATAATAATAAGACGTAGTTATCGCTAGCTATAGAGTAAAAATTATCAATGACTCAATTTTATAATTTGCGTTTTTAAATAATTATGCAATTTTACTACATCAAACATTTACCTACATCAACATTTTTTAAAGTAAAATATGATATTTAGAAAAATAATTTTGTTTTCCACTTCCCCCAAACGACAGGTTTTTTGGCGACATGTGAATAGAAAACCTATTTTTTTTATAATAATAGTATTATAAATAAATTCTAAAATATCCTTAGAAAATAGAAGTAGAGGCTGATGACATACATCCTGACTCAGTATCGTTTTTCTTGAGCAATGGTTTATCATTAAATTACAATTGAATACGCAATTGAATTTAATTAATTTAATTAAAAATTAAATTTTATCTTAAAAATTTACCTTAGAATGAAAATGATTATAATATTATATTCATATTAATACTGAGAATAATAATAATAAAAAAAGATTGAATTAATAAAATATAATAATGTTGTAGATATAATAATAATAATATATTTTGATTTTTTAATTATTTGATTTATTGTGGTGACTCCACAATTGTAAAATATAAAACAATAAGATTACAATTTTTTTATAGTTTTTAGTATCCAACAAAACATTTTTTGTTAGGTACCTATTTAAATTAATTTCTGCACCCCTAAATATTTTAAAAATACAATGCGCAGACATTTTGAACGTTGGTTAAGTATCCTGTTATAGCTATTATAAGAGGGTACCTGATGATATCATAATACTTCTAAGGTATATCAGAATAAAACAATGCATTTGTCTTGTCTCTGATTATTGTAGAAACAATGGCACTACATCAACTCAAAACCTTAATGAAATTATAATACCTTTTAATAATATTATGCAAAGGATCTAATATAGTAATATGTTAATGATAATACCACTTCTAATATTACAGCGGTTATAGAAACTGTGTTGTATTACGTGAAGAAATGAGATATGCGTGTTAAGTAAAATTATATACCCTAAATAGTAACTCATTAACAATATTAATTTACAAATTTAGTTAAGAACTTGAATTTAATATGTAAGACATTTTAAACGAAAAATGTACATTCATATGAATTTGTCAATTAATTGATGAAATTATTAAAATAGTAATCAATATCACTTATAACACTTGAAACTATGGTGTTCGAAATAAAAATTAAAAACCAAATGTTGGTTACCTAACAAAGTGATAGTTATTTGCTACTATAAATGGTTAAAGCTTTTCTCCATAAAATTAGTATTGACAGCGTAAGGTAATAGCTTTGTATTAATGATTAATAAGGCCAGACTTAAGCAAGATGTTTGCAAATAAAACTATATAGCGCGTTTAATGTTATTAACACTAATGTAATGCATAAGACGAATGACAACAGATTGTAGGACTACAGTTAAGTTTGGCAAACATAAATGGTTTAATATGCCATAATATTATCATTTGTGTAGAAATGCTAATAAGTTCATAAGTGACTTGAATTTACAAAATGTATAATGTATAATCTCTATATTTTGGGCATAAACTAACGTTACAATTTTATATTCATATTATATTAAATTCTAAGTGGAGGTATGAATGCATTCCAATGTTGAACCTATGTGTTTTTAGGCAAACGCAAGAAAAAAATTGATGGTGGGAGGGAGAGAGGGGGTTCGAAAAAAACGTATAATGTGCATAGAGTTAAACCCCTTCGCCACTAGTTTTTTTTATTTTTTGTGCATAATAACACTTTTTATAGTAGAAAAAATTCTTCAACCATCAATTTTGAGGGAAGTTTCTGGTATAGAAAATTGTATCTAGTTTGTATTTCGATGGGTCAAACGTTGAAATTACTCTATTCATTTTTAAATAATTAAAATAATAATAATACAAATTAAAGGGGGAAAGTATGTGATCTCTCTACTGTACAGTAGTGGTCGAGTGTCCTTCGTCATTGAGTAAGTCTCTGTAATAGTGTAATGCATGTGTTAAATTTGAAATCTACGATAAACCATTGCATAGGTACGAAAAAGGATTTTAGTGAAGACATACCGTCAACCACTGATGATATATTTATATTTATACTAAAGTAATTTATTTGACTACTTAAATAATACGGTAGGTCGAATTAATTTTTACCGAAAATATTGCATTTAAATATGTCATTGTGTGTAGAAAATATAATAATATACGTATAAGTTTCAAGTCCACACGAATAATATTTCTAAATTATAACAAAAGAACTAAAATTGTTATTTTCGTTAAAATATCCGATTTCATCCTAATTTACCTAAAAGTGTCTATAAAAAACTGTAGGTAGGTACTTTTATATTTTTTTTAAATTTAAGTGCATGGACTACTTATATACTGTACATAAATATTATCAAAATTCTTATCAATATTAAACGTTCATATAATTTAATCAAACAGTACATATTTTACATTCAATGGTTATTATAGTTATTATAATAAATTGTTTAAACTTACGCGAAGGCCCTTTCAGAAATTATTCCGATTCTATTGCTCATCAACCGTAATGATTCGATGTGTGTTCCTTGTAATATATCATTGTCCACAGCCTCGATCTCAGACGACATGACATCCATATGACTTATCCGAGTGCCAGTTGCTACTTCTGTAAAAAAAAAAAATTTTCAAAAATTTTATTATAAAAATGATATTATTATATTATAATTTATAAATGCGTTTGTATCATTTAAATTATTGATATGTATTATAATTGATATTCGTCCATAGTATTAGGTAAATTAATATACAAAATTACTCATAATATTTAGTTTAATTTGTTAGAGAATATTTGGAAATTTAGTTAAATCACTAGAAAACTGATTGTGGATTATTGAATGTAATAAATAACATAATGTATTATTACGTATTTTTTTTAAATATATAATGTTCTACTTTTAAATTATTAATATAAAATGTTTATCACAAAAGTTCCATAGTACTCATATACTCCATATACTACTCATGCCCTAGTAAACTTTATTGAAATAAAATAAAATTACAATAGTAATTTATAGAGCATAAATATTATAAAAAAATCTATTTAATTATATATTTTTTTACGGTTCCAACACCACTATTTAGATGGTAGCTTTGTAAAGCCATATTTAATTTATTCCATTATATTTATTCGAAAATAAATACTATAAAACATACATATTTTACCTAGTTTCTTGGTAAAAATTGTATCGAGTAGTAACTTATTATTATTTTTTTACTAAAGTTTTGGATATGTATATTTCCAGTTACCTGGGATTGTGTACAAAGGAACTGCAACACATGCGATGTGCATTCTTAATGCTTCGTCTGTTTTGCATGTACACATGCTGTTGAATAAACAAGGCGTCGCTGTCACTGTAGTGAGCATGATAACTAGAAGTGGAAAACATGATAACATCTGAAAAATAAATTGATCGATAGGTGTGATTATACGTCCGTTTAAACTATCAACACGGATAATAAACATTTATAAACGATTTACTGCTTATGGTAATGCCCTAATTTATAGCATATTATAGGTACATTATATTACATGGTATGCATTCCAAAGTCACCACCAATGGTCGAATTAATTGATTTTTATTTATGCAGGTTAAAAATGTCGTTATTATATTATTAAACACAATGGGTTCAACACAATAGGTAGCTGATTTTATACAATATCATCATTTTTATATAATAGTGGTCCTTATTATCACCGCCTACGCTACGTTACTATATTTTATTATTCTCTCGCCGTATTAAATATTATATAATAATATACAGTTCCAACGGTACCTATATAAGGTTTGCACTACTATATTATCCAATACAGCTGGTGGAGTACCTAAACCTGTCGGCTTAGGCTATATCGTTTGAGTTCTATAACTCTGTGTCATAACATAGTATAGACAGACCTGTTCAGCTTCAGTACGACAGCGTTTTTAATAATAAACTACAGTTGTAGAACTCATAAACTTGTTCCCAGGGAAAGATTTAAGGGGGCAAGGAATTCTCCTATCAGAAATTTTAAAGGCACAGCGAATCGTAATTAAGTGATTTGAGTGACTACTTAAGTCGCCCAGCGTATTTTAATTTTAAATTTATTAAACTAGTTTTTTATTCGTTCGTTGACGAGTTTGAATAAAGAATAGTAGGATAGTTTTTTTAAATTTATAATTTCGTCATGCACAAAAAAAAAAATAACGCTACAATTTGTTATGACAGTGGACGTGGAGCGGCTCAGTTCTGTGATCCCCAAGGGTGGAAAAAGTCTAAATAACAGGCGCCTGTTGAGATTACAGCTACGGCCTTATTAAAATACATATAATATTATACACGCACATTGGCGTTGTCATTATGTGCAATCACACACAAATTGGAGAGAAGAAAATGTACTAACGTCGCGCCAACGACATATATAGCTATGAATGCTAATGATGTTTGGCTACAAGTATTTACTATACAGGGTGATTTACTAATAATGCATAGGTAGTCCGTACATAGTATACCTTTACGGCTTTACTTTAATAATGCATAATATTTTATTGTAATTCTGATTTTTGGAGTTTGTAATAATAAATTATAATCGTTATAATATCATCTAACGTATGATACGAATTAATTTTTCAAACGAGAACCACTCTTCCTCATCGTCAACTGTTAAGTGGGTGATTTTTTTTTGAAATGTTTATGTATTGATCCAACTTTAAACATTTAAAACGTAAAAAATAGTGCTTTGAGGATAATAAATTGTCAACGGACCAAGGTAATAGAACAAGACATTCGAGCTATGATTATTTAAATTTATATATTTCCAAACAACAACTTTTATAAAAGTTTTTTATTTGTTTAATTTAAAACGTACACTAAGTTTATATCACCGAAGAACACTCTTCAAATGGTACAACATTCCAATAACTTAAAAATATGGTCCTTCAATATATTTAAATATTTCGAAAATCAAAATAATTGAATAAAAGCATTATATGAGGATGACAGAGTGCAGGTGAACACGCTTGTTGAATCACTTCGTCTACTGCACTTAGTGGACGAGGGTTCGAGACTCAACAGTATAATATTCATGTATAGCTGACGGTAGATACGCACAGTAGACACGACCGGAGATTGGGTGTACGAGATATCGCAGCTGTTTGTTGCCGGAAGACGGAAACATTCCAAAGGTCGCTTATTCACCCCATCCAAAAGTCGTGTGGACGAAAAATCTATTGTTCGCTTGTGTTAGTGATTGCTTATATAATCAGGCCATCAGGGCATTGGCACCCGTGTGACATGACGTTTGTCATAAAAATAATTACGAACATAACATATGTATAGGCGTCACTCGCGAATAATATAGCATAAATGGTAAGATCTATAATAGAAGATTAATTGACTTGGGAAATTTATGAGACAATGTTGCTCCGGCGAGGAAATAAATTTGAGTGGGCTGTATTTTTTGTATTTTTTGATATATTCAATGCAGAATAAATATTATAATTTACTGGTACTGAGACAATTAATAGCTATGATAATATTTTGTACTAAGTATGGTTCGTAATATATTATGTGTACGAAAGAATTAGTTATTAGTACATTATTGCAACAGGTGTCCCTTGTGACGGAACCGGTCTGACCCGCGCTTTACATAATACATATATAGATCCGGCCGATACAGTCTTACGCCTCCCGACGACAAACCAATATAAGAATGGATATGACATAAGAACTTATCGCATGACAATTTAGTGATACTATTTTTAAGGTCATATGGGGCAAATATTGATATGATAATATTGATAAATAATAATAAATATTAAATAACATAATTTTATTTTGTTGAAATATTATTTTCCAATTTCCATTTTCCAGGCACATGTGGTACAACAATCAAAATACAAACTAACATACATATATCTAAATATAACCGACCATCATGTTATCGTTATTATTTAATAAAATAGTTTTTCACATAACCTTAAAAAGCCCCATATCGTCTTTCTCTTTTTACGTTCTCTCTTCCCCAAAAAAGCACACGGCCCCATATGGAACTGGTATAGGCATGTCCTATACATTCTTATATATTATCTATGAGTCAAATGTGCTTGGTGCAGCGTTTTATTCGTGACGATCTACTCACGAATCTCATCATATTGTGCAAGCAAATAGTTGGCTGATGACGGTTTTTTGCAATCACACACACATAATATTATAATATTAAATAATTATATTACTTTAAGAAATTATGATGACATCACAGGAAAATACTTCGCGTGGTGCGAACAATGTGCATCATTATTGTATCGTCTAGATTCTAGAATAATAAACCTAGTAGATTTTCTACTGTTATGTTAACAGTTTATTATTTATGAGGTATACCGTGTGTGTATACATTAATAACAGCAATAATACTTATCCAGATCGCATAGAAACTGTTAGTGTAAAATAAAGGTATTTTATACATAGTTATCAATAAAAAGGTAAATATATTAAAATAATTACTTAGATAGCCCTCACAGTGTAAAAATTGTTGTTTTTTTAACTATAATTATTAGGAGAGATAATTTATGGGAAATAAAATACGATATTGGGAACCATAATATAGTTTAATGGATAATTATCGCGCAGGTTAGTAATTATGATTGTCTAGCTACCCAGAAAGTGATGGTTATACCATATTATAATATTTAATATAATATTATCATATAAAACCTGCGAGAAAACTATATATTTTCAAGTGTATTTTGCCACTGAGCATCTGCAGCGCGGCTGTCGAGTTGACAGTTTTATCTTTATGACTTGGAAAAATTAAGTATAATTTTACGTTATTTTTGAACCTGAGTTTTATTTAAATATATCCATTTTTAAGTCTACAGTAAAAGTGTTACTATTCTATATACTTTTAGCATTCAATAAATCTCAATACGCGTCAACATTTGTATAGGTCGATTGGCCGGGCCGCAATAAATAATATGTTTGAATGGAATTGAACTCGTATGTATATACCTATAACAATAGAATATCGATTCTTTTACTATACTTAAATACCCGGCACAATTAATATTATTTTATCGTACATTTTTTTTAAAATATTTTATTTTTAATTGAGAGTTTGCCGAGTGAACAACAAGCGAAAAACAATAAAACTAAACTATACCGATTATAACAACAACTATTCTATCGGACCACTTACTGTTCACGAACACCACAACGACCAAACAATGTCATAAATTCGTCGTCAACAGCACACGGGATTACTTTCACGCTTTTTAAAAGATAGGTAGCAGACAGAGGTACACGACAACAATATTCGGATCCATCGGAGTCGTGTGTACATCGTACTGACGTAGGTATTCACACGTGGCGGGTGGAGAAGGATATAATTGGCTATGTGCAAAGGAACGAGAAGGATGAAGTCTTAAACCGAGAAATCGAGTAAAAGTTTAACCATTTCCGTCAAAGGCTCTTAGAGAGTGTATTACCCGCAAGTGCTGTTATAATAATAATATAGGGTAGGTAATTGGTATACCAGGTAATAAAACATCGCGACTTTTTTTTCCACTAGACGATTATAATATTATTATTATCGTTCGCGTACACAATTTGTATTATAATATTGTACTATCATAATACTTTGGAGTTTAAATATTGTTAAAAATATATTTTAACAACGACAATATTTTTTACTCCCCCCCCCCATAACCTATATATCAGACACTTAAATCATATATAATTAGAAGACGATTGTGTGTGTGTACAGGTCCTGCAGCTGTCATTGTATACGTATAAATACTATGGGTATGATATATCGTCATACCTCGTTCAAGTCCAGAGTTATTATTTCCGTCCAATCGTCGACTATTTATTTCTATTCGAAATGTTTATATACACACACATTTCGGATTTTTATTATATTTTTTTTAGTCGGACGTGCAACAAACACCGTTACGCAATAACGCAGACAGATGCGAGTAAATCACTATTTATTTCCTGTTAAAATATCGAGGAAGCGTCGCCCCATTTTTCTTTCCAGTAATAATGATATAGCTATGTGACAAATGTCTGCTGTGAAAAAAAGTGCACCGCCATAACAACGTTAAATTATAATACCAATCAAAGGATCGTTAATGTCGAATATTCAGTGTTTATTATGGTTTTCTGTATCGACAAAATATGAAATTGTTTACAAGACAAATTGTTTACGGTAAGTAATAAGCGTTATTATTAACTGACACTTAAATAAATACCTAACATTAAAGAGTTAAATAATATATTATATTGAAATTGTTCGTTGGAAATTGAAAAAAGACATTCGTTGTTGAAGTAGGTACAAATTTAAAAATAGAATTAGTATTTAAGCTTTCGAAATAGATTGGCTTGAATAATAATATTTTCTAGCCGTTATTTTTATCTTCATAA